TTATCTAATATTTTTTGATTTTTTGGGGTAAATTTTTATCGATCAAAGGTAATTATTTGAATTGAATTTTTAAATTTTAATTTTTAATTTTCGTAATTAAAGACAACCAGTAAATTAATTGGTACCGAAAGGGCGGTTCAAGGGTGTTAATCATTTCTTGACCGTAACCGACTCCCGAACCCGACACATTTATAGTATAACGCATATCAGGTGAGATGGTATCCGATCAACCTAAATATTTTATTTAAATGATCGGTGGCGACTCTAGCATTTTATTTAAGTCGTAGTCTAATTTTGGGTCCAACCAAAAGACGGCCGCGATAACATTATTATAGAGTTGGAATCAAATTTTGTCTAAAACTAAATTGTATATTTTTCATTATTAAAGAGTTGCAATTGAAATATATATTATAATAACATTACAAGTTTTTACGGACAATTTAATATTTATATTTTTATCTAACATTTTTTTGACTTTTTATGGGAAATTTTTTATCGATCAAATGTAATTATTCGAATTGAATTTTTAAATTTCAATTTCAATTTTTAATTTTCGCAATTAAAAACAACCGGTAAATTAATTGGTACCGAAAGGGCGGTTCAAGGATGCTAATCATTCTTTGGCCGTAATCGACTCCCGAACCCGACACATTTATGATATAACGCATATCAGGTGAGATGGTGTCCGATCAACCTAAATATTTTATTTAAATGATCAGTGGCGACTATAGCATTCTATTTAAGTCGAAGCTCAATTTCGGGCCCAACCTAAAAACCGCTGCGACAACATTATTATAGAGTTGGAATCAAATTTTGTCTAAAACTAAATTGTATGTTTTTCATTCAAGTTCTCTTATATTTTTTTCTTATGGACGGAATCAAGTACCCTTGAAATAATTTATAATTGTTATGATTTTTTTTGTTACATAATTGTTATGATTCTTTAGAGTATATAAAGATGACCGAATTGATAAAATTAAATTTAATTCTTGTCGTTAACATATTAGAAATATTTTTTGATTTTATTCTCACACACGTAACTACATTAATAATGAAATAAAATCATAAAAAATACTATTAAATTATTGACTTTGAAAAAATAAAATATCAACATAAAAATTAATTAAACGATAAAAATAAATATAAAAGAATGTACAAGTGAATGAATAGATGGTTTACTATATATTTTATATTCTAACAATTTCTAATTATGAATTATCATTGATTTCATTTTTATTAATATAGGGTAAGTACAATATAGTATTTATTCGAAGATAACTTTGAATCATTTAACATTAAACACTCACACTTATAATATTCACGATACCAAATTCGAGACCTTAAATAATGATGATAATTCCTTTATTACTGAAGTTGTTTGATTTATGTTGTTAAAAGCATGTTTAAGTTATATGCAAAATCGATCGAGAAATGTCAATAAGAGTTTTATAGGAAGACTGAAAACCTAGACGACATAATAATCTAAATGGCTTGGAAAATGATTAATGGTATAAATCTTAAAAATGAATTATATCTTCGAAGAAATAAAACACATAATTACCCAGGGCCACTGTCCCCCTTTATTATTTAAAAAATATAAATAAATAATAAATTAAACCTCATAGTTTTAATTTATTTTAATTTTACTCTCTTAATTTCTTATGATTAATTATATTTTATCTCTCATTTTCCATGGTTAATTATACTTTATCCTCCTTGAATTGATATTCTAACTTCGTCCCTATAATTACCTTTATTTCTTAAAACAAAATTTATTAATTTTATCTTAATTTTGTAAACTAAATTGCTGTGCTTCAACTTATAACATCAAATTTAAATAGTGATGTTATATAGTGATAGCATTTATATATTTAAAAGGATAATTACAGATTTACCTCTTATAATTGTCAAATTTTTTAATGTGATATGTATATTTTTTGAAATGTCTAATACAATACTGTATAATCTTCCATTACTTAATATGTGGACTAATCTTATGCTATCAATGTGACACAAATTGGGAGGTAATGTTTATTCTATCAATCCAATGGACCAATTATACCAATTGTAGGGGTTCCCTCTATGTTTGTCCTCTTTCTCCCCTAACCTTAGTTGCAGGCTTGCAGCTGCCCTTGATAAAGTACAGGCTCCAGATTAGAAGATAAAAAAAAAAAAAAATCTATATGCGATTTGATAAAAATACAGAGACAACTATAGAAAACGCCGTCGTTTCTATATAAAACCCCCGCAAATTACGGACATCCTCATTGGTTAAGGGTTTTAAACTGCGTTATCATCAATCAGGGTTTTAGAGAGAAAAAGAAGGAAAACTCTCTTCATCACTAAGAAATGGAGTCTTTTGCTTGCTGTCACCAACCTTTTCATCTGTCTTTCAATCACTACCGTCCATCGTTCGCTAAACCCACACCATCTGTCACCTTCAGGATTCCATCGTCATCATCACCGTTCAAATTATCCTCCATCAGAGCTTCATCTTCCTCATATCTCCGTTGTATCAATCCCCCAAACCTTCCCTTATCCAAACCCTGACCCCTCTACTCAAAACTTCTTTCATTACTCTAACCGCCGCCGCAGCACTCTTCTTCACGCGCTTACACCAGAAACTGGCGCTGGCCGCCGCTTCAACAGCAACACCCACGGTGGATTCCGCCTCAATGGACTCGAATATCTCGTTGGAAGACCAAGAGAAAACCATCGAGGAACACTTGGCACGGGAGCCAAATGACATTGAAGCTCTGCAGTCACTCATGGAGGTGCAAATCAAATCGAAGAAACTCCCACAAGCTATTGAAGTCATAGACCGTTTAATCGAGCTCGAACCCGAAGAAGCCGAGTAGCCAATGTTAAGAGCCCAAATTCATAACTATAGTGGCGATTACGCTCAAGCCAAGAGCCAGTTCGAAGAGATAATTGCTAAAGACTCACTTCGAGTCGAGGCTTTTCACGGCCTTATAATGGCTTACTCAGAGTCGGGTCAGAAATTGAAGGGGCAATGGATAAGTGCAAGAAAGAGAAGAAAACAAAGATTTTAGAGATTTTAAGCTATTAATTGCTCAAATTCGGGTCATTGAAGGTAATCATTCCGAAGCTTTGAAGATGTATGAGGGTTTGGTTAAGGAAGAGCCAAGGGATTTTAGGCCTTATTTGTGTATGGGGATTATTTACTCCTTATTGAAGAAGAAAGATGAGGCTGATAAATATTTTGAAAAGGTTAGGACACTTGTTCTAGGAATCACCCTTATAGGGAGTACTTTGTCGATAATATGGTGGCAACAAAGCTTTTCGCCGAAAAGGCTGAGAGGGAACGTGCTTGAAAGAGTTGACAGACATTTGCATTGTTTTATCATAGTTGGTGCATAATGGTAATGTTTACGAAAACGTGCCCCTTGTTTTAGTTTTTTTTTGGTTTAATTACCTTTCAATGTTTTTGCAACAGTTTGGATACTAATTTATAGTTATGTAGGTATTTAGCTTTGTAATATGCATATTGATAAAGGGCTGATAATTGAGTTGGTTTAGTCATTCTATGCCTGAATTTTGGCTGGACATCTTGGGAATCTTGATATGCCTTTATGTTCTATTGATTCTTGTGTTAAATGATTTTTTGGGGTTTAGTATGAGCTTTGCCGAGTAGCCGTGATATTCCCTCATAACCATTCTAATTAAACCTTGGAAATACTTTAAAATACTTCCTATATAATGGTAATTTATGGTAGTAGATGTGGTGTATGGAAGAAATATTGTATGGTATTGATATTTTCACTTGGGTTTTTTGATGGGAGGCAGACGTTTTAGTGCATTTATACGAATTTGGAGTTGATAATTGGTTAAGATAGGAATGATTACTGTTGTATATGTTTCTTTGTAGTAGCTAATCTATGCTGGTGTTGCGGTAGTTGCACTTGTGGTCTCTAACCTTTCTCCAGTTCTGTCTTTTTCGGACCCTTCTTTTCAAAAAGAGGAGGCTATTCTTGAAATGAATAGGCATGTTCAACTAGTTATTTGAAGTATTCAATAAGAATAGGGATTTTCAATGCTAGAACTTCCCCCTTTCTTAACTGTATCATGACACAGAATCTATACCCACTTGGAGGGTGAGCCGGATTACCTTCGATAAAGAAGTCGACTAACTATTGTGCTTTCCTCCCGCTGCCCTGTTGAGGGAAATTTACCTGTGAATGTGGTGCGGGCCACTGCTCTCCCTTTCACTTGAGACGAGATCTGTGCCACACATGAAGATTGAATCAATAAGATTGTAATCTGATCCTAGAAATGCCGTAACTCTCTTTCTGAATGAGGGTCAATTTCTTTTCTTTTTCTTGTGGGTAATGAGCTGCATGCAATAGCCTATGAAAGTTCTTGCTTCAAGCATAGTTTAAGTGATAACGGTTCCTCGTGTATTTTGCACTTGTTCTTTTAAAATTGGAGGTGCCATTTGCACCTGTGGCTAATATGACTGGTTTATACCTGTTTAGTTGCTCTCTTTTTTTTCATTCACATGGTTGACAAGGCAGTGCCAAACTTATTGATGCCAATAAAAGAATGTCCTTACACGCATTTGCATTAAAAGAGATTGATTACAAGGCAGCAAGAAAGCAAAAAAATCAGACAAGAAAATATGTTATGCAAAAGAAGGGTGATGAGAGAGACATGAGAATTCATGAATTTGTGGTTCTAACTTGGGAATGTGCTTTACATGGTTAATGTATTGGTTGATTCTGGAATTTATAAAGCCAAATGGGAGACGTTCTAATCAGACAATGGCATTGGAAGAAGGCAAAAGAAGGAAGAATATCATGATCGAAATTGCTGTTCAAGGGTTGATGTTCAGTAGGATCAATTCAAAGCGACAGCCGATCTATACATTTTTTATTGCTTAATATAAATTCAAGTTGTCCAATTCGAAAGGAGCCCAACGAGTGACATGACCCATGTCTATTCCCAACTCAAATGTAGTAGTATTTCTTGGGCCGAAATAAGAGAAGCCTTATCGAAGCCGACATATCCAAGGTTTTACTTTCCTCCTTCAAAATTTCTAGGGAAGAGATCAGTGCAGCCGCGGCATCAAAACTCACAATGGGTAAAAGACTCAAATTCAGCTCTTTCTTTAATTTCAAAGTCATTTTCAATGGCTAATTCGATCATCTTTTGGTTTGGAAGCGAGGATAAAGGTTCACGAGTTAAGGAACAAGTCAAAGACGGAGCTGCTAAGCCAATTGAAGGACTTGAAAGCAGAGCTCGCTCTCCTTCGCGTCGCTAAGGTCACCGGCGGTGCCCCCAACAAGCTTTCCAAGATGTAAGGAATTGACCATATCACCCTTTCATTTCACTTTAATTCTCAGTTCCCTCTTACTAGATCCTGAACTATATTACTATTACTATTGGCTGCAGAAAAGTTGTGAGGTTATCAATCGCGCAGGTTTTGACGGTGATTTCGCAGAAGCAGAAATCGGCTCTCAGAGAAGCTTATAAGAAGAAGAAGTTCCTCCCTTTGGATCTCCGTCCCAAGAAGACTCGTGCCATTCGTCGCCGCCTTACTAAACACCAGGTCCTTTTAGTTTTTGTTTTCACTTACTCATATATTTGGAAATTTTATGGTTGAACACTTTAATGTTATGTGTATATGCCAAGCAAGAGTGTATGGTGAATTTGTGATATTAACTCTTGGAAATATTGAAGGAAACTCAGACAACTTTAACTAGTTGTCTTTGTTTATGTTAATGCCAAAACATATAATATAGGTTTGGGAGCCTATGTTACTCGTGCAAGTGTCGGATATGGGAATGTACTCGACACGGATATGGTTAGATTTTTCTAATTTTTTCCATGTATTTGGAGGATCCTTGAGGTCATATTTCGGTCTCAATATGTCCAACACAGATATGGGTGCTTAGAGAAATGAAGAGTCCAAGTGAATTAGTCAGGACTAAGAGATTTTTATATCCTTTGGTTTAATTGGTAGTAAACTATGGAGGGAATGAAAATGTCTGAGCCTAGCATTAATTGAGGCATATCTTTTAAGTGCCAATTGATAGTAGTTTGGTTTTGGTTTCAATGGGTATGGACCATTCAAATGTACTAAATTGGTTTTCTGGGATTATATGCAGGCATCTTTGAAGACGGAGCGGGAAAAGAAGAAAGAAATGTATTTCCCAGTAAGGAAATATGCCATCAAAGTGTAGTCGAATCTAGCTCATTCCTCTTTTTCCTACTATTTTTATTTTGTTCATGATCAGAAGGTTGAGTTGTTGGTTTAGATGCAGTAATATGATCATTTTTGCTTCTTTATCACTGTTCCTGGAACATCTGTTTGAGCACTTATAATGTGATATCTCATTTCAGAATGCGTTTTACCTTGTTTGAGCAATTATTCATGCAAGTAATTTTGTCAGTTTTGCCTTGTTTAATGTACTCACTTTTACAGTCTCCTCCTCCACCTTTCTTTGGTAATCAAAATTTCTGTATCATTGTTCTTTTATAATCATATTTATTTATGATATTATAAATTCATTGTTCTATATGATAAAATAAGATTAATGAGGTCCAAAACAATATAATGAGCACTAGTTTAGCGTAGAAAATAGGAGAATATGAGATAATAAATTCAGATATGAGCACTAATTTGATTTTTTAATAATTATTAATTTAAATAATTTTATTAATATGTTTACTCTAATTCAGTGTGATTTCATTAGAGATACGTTTGACGAGATACGGTTGAAGATTTTTTTTGTTGAAAGAGTTTGAATTTTTTAACATTTTATAAATATTTTTAAATTTTGATTTTTTAATAATTTATCATTTTGTAATTTCTAATATTTTTATATTTTATTTTATTTTTATTTTTAATAATAATATTTTTATTTTTTAAAATTTTATAAAACAAATTTCAATTAAAACTAATGATGTCCTCAAACTCGATAAGCAAATTAATCTTACTCTTTTACCATGTCATCATTTACATGTGGATTACTAAACATAATACATCCCAAGTTAACATCGTAAATTATCATGTCAATACTGTAACGATCAACTTAATAGTAAAATTGGTACAATTAGAAAATATAGATTTTACTATACGAATAAAAATATTCTTTAAATTAAATTAAAACTTATCAACTCGATTAATTTACAACATTTTTGTCCAATTTGACTAGATTAAATACTTTCTCATCCATCCATCCATCCTCTCAATCTTTCTTTTTATATATAACTTTTTTCATGATCTCGAGCATTAATGTAGAAAAAAATACTCTACTTGTGAATTGTTAACAAATTTAACATAAAAAAAGAAGGGAATGCTAGAATCATAGAGCTTGACGAACGTTAACCGCTTGATTTTAATATATATATATTTATATATAAGTAACGTTTGTTGAAGAGCTATCTATACATTTCGGTATATAAAACAAAAACCGAAGAATATACACAACATTTGACATTACAAATACAGTGAACTATCAGCTTCTCTAATGACAGCTTTTGCTTAAGTAACAAGTTATCTTACATATATATTTTTTTCTACCCTTTTCGAATAATAATGGTTAGCGTCATAATGCAAACCAGATAAGGCAAATATTTGGTTGGTTAGTTGGGTATTAGGTCCTTTTCGAATGCATCGTACTCCCATTCTACTATTTCATCCGTTTCATAATCTGAACTCTCTTCGTCATCTTGTTCCAGCTCGAATTTCAGCTTCTTTTGATCTGTTTTCTTTAATGAAGACTTTAATCGGAACCACGGAGTAAGCGGCGACTTGTTGGTGGATGGTGGCTCTGATATTACAGTTGGATTTTCAAGATCTAAAATTGGTCTCTCAATGGATTCGAATTCTTCCCTTATACTTTCAAGATCATCAAATAGCTCTTTCAGCCTGTCATCTTTCTTCCTGGATGGTGGCCAAGTAACATTAATGGGAATACAATGTCCTTCATTCGGAGAATAAATCTGTGTTCTCATTGAACCCACTACACTAAAGGTACTTACAAACTGAAAAAAAATGAAAAACCAAGGTTAATTCCATATATGTACTCAAACTATGATCCAAATTCTAAATTGGTCAAAAACTTCAAGTCAGTATAATTATATTCACAAAGTATCAGCATGATATTAATCAAGTCCTTCCATCAGCCTATCCGTAAGCTTGCACCTATCAAATTGTAACGACATATCCTTTTTTTTTTCTTTTAAAACATATAAGATCCAAGCTCTACGTAGAATAGGTGCACACGTGTTTAAAATTTGTTATGTAGTTCAAATATGCTTCAAGTCAGATCCTAGTTGGCATTTAACGCCCAAGCTAATGGCAAGGCTGGTGGAAGGACTTGATTAATATGATACTGATGCTTCGAGGATTCAATTAGCATGTTTTGGAGTTTAAAGACCAATTTAGATTCTGGGCTATAGTTTGGTATGCTTGATGTAGTTAATAGAAAAAAAAGAAACAGAACATTGTCATTTCTTAATATGATAAAATTGATATTTTTCCTATTGCGTGCGCACACACACATATAGATAGAGGGAGTAAGATCCGTTAACATGGTATAAAACTTTGGGTTATACAAGTTTTTTGGATTTTTGAATAAGTGAAAATGGACGACTAAGATTAATAATAGATAATGAGAAAAAAAGAAGTTGATAATATTCGATTTAAAAGTTTTAATCTGAGTCATTAAATATAGTTAATCTAACGATCCTAAAAGCATGTAAAAGCTCTGCACTATATAAGTAGGTCCTAGTTCGTATATATATGTGTGTGTGTGTTCTGGATAAGATTGATACATACTTTGGATTCAAGGCTCAAATATTCTTCTTCAAGACTTCTTCTTTGGTTAAGACCTTTATGAGATTCATCCATAGCTGTTCTCCTGACCTGATTGATTAAAAGAATGATGCAAAGCTTGACTTAATCTAAAACTGAAAACTTGAAAGAAACAAAGAATTATACCTTTCAGTTGAGGACAAGTTCTCCACCAGTTGCCCAATTCTTATCAGGGAAGGTCTGAGTTGTTCCTTAAGAATTTATGATAGAAAATAAATAAAAATGAGGGATATATGTTGCAAAAGACTCCTTCGAAATGAATAGGAATTACAGGATATCATTAACTTTTTGACCAGCTTTCCTGGATAAGATTGTTGGAAGAGTAATACCTTGTAAGCAATCAGAAGGTGAGTGACCAGATTCACAAAATATTCTCCATATCTCTCTAGTTCACCACTAGCAAATTAAAATGACAAAGAAAGAAAAGAAAATCAAACTCTAATTAAGCATTTAAAAATTCAGGGTTAGATATGAAATGGTAGCATCAATTCAATAGATGGTTAGAAGTAAGGAGATGTACATACTTGACCTGCTTCTCCTTCTGCTCAAGGTAGGTTGTTTGAAGAAACCATGTATCTTCCAGAAAATGTATCCACGCATTAACAACGTCCGCTTCTACTCGGCATGAAGAAATCGATCTCGAAATTTCCTCTTCCTATGAACAGAGGGAACAGAAGGCCATTTTCTGAATATGAATAGAGAGATAGTTCTACTTGTAAAAGCGTATCATCTAATTAGTACTTAAAAGCAATTATACCTTTGATGCTAGCTGTGATAGAATCTGGTTACTGGCAACATCAAATTGTTCTCGCTCTTCCCTGGCATTGCGAAGGCATATACGAGCACAGACAAGTGATGCATTGACCTGAACCAGATTCATAACCATGTCATAACACCACTCTGGAAAATGTGGAGAAACCGCTTCAGGCTAATGTATCCTATGTTCAAGTTCAACACTCATTTTTCTTAAGATCCAGAGTCTGACATTTGTGTCCAGCATATTTCAAACATAGTGACAAGGATATGATCCAGTAAGGACTCTAAATACATGAAAAAATAGACATATTGAATATACCGGTATTGGACAAATACCAATATCTGACATAGAGGACCAGATATGTATATAAAAGAAGAAATAAAAGGAAGGGTAAAACTGAAACTTAACTATGTATTGAGTAATGACAGATGATAAATGATTCAGAAAAGAATGGTTTTCAAGTTTGGTAATCAACTTTGAAAAATTGGTTTTCAAAGTTTGGTAAATGTTTCTTTAAAAAATAGTTTTTCAAAGTTTGGTAGATGTTTGTTGAAAAATGATAATGGGATAATCACAATTAATCTCTAGGCTTTAGGGTATTTACAAGATTAAGTCATTAAGTTTCAACTATAAATACCCTAGCTCATTTAGCTTCAAAACCATCCCAAAAATCATTTCTTTCTCCCAATACTTGAGAGTTTTCTTGTGAGCAGTGAGTGTTTTGTAAACACCTGTAAATTTTCTCTCTTAGTAAAAGATCTGCAGCAGTCCGGAGTCGTAAACACAATTGGCTGAACTCCGTTATCAATTTCGGGTATTATTTTTCTGTTTTTATTTCGTATTCTCACAAATATGACTATAGGGAAATTACTTGTTACTTGGTTTATTTCCCAACAACTGGTATCAGAGCTTTTGGTTGTGAATTCTGTTAATTTTTGCGGGGTTACTATTCGGGTTACTATTCACGTGAATAGTAAATTTCGTGAATAGTGAAATTCGGTCGGCGATACGAGTTTGTCGACGGAGGTGTTCTAATACACGGCGGTTCGCAGAAATTGTCAGAAACGATCCAAACGAAGCCAGATTCGAGTGGGAGCGATGGCTGCAGACAAAGGGAAGGTGAAAATTGGAAAGTACGATGGTGCGGACTTTAGATTTTGGAAGATGCAAATTGAAGATTTTCTATACCAGAAAAATCTATATCAACCCCTCTCAGGAAAACAACCAGAGGGCATGAAGAATGAAGATTGACTCTTCTCGACAGACAAGCCCTCGGAGTTATCCGACTGACGTTATCCCGCAATGTTGCTTTCAACATAGCAAAGGAAAAGACCACGGCGAGTCTTATGACGGCTCTCTCCAGTATGTATGAGAAGCCATCGGCCTCAAACAAAGTTCATTTGATGAGGCGATTATTTAATTTGCGGATGACGGAAGGGGCATCGGTGGCACAACACCTAAATGAACTCAACACAATCACAACCCAGTTGAGTTCAGTGGAAATTGAATTTGATGATGAAGTTCGAGCATTAATTCTCTTATCATCTTTACCATACAGTTGGAATGCTACTGTTACAGCAGTCAGCAGTTCGTCGGGAAACAACAAATTAAAATTCGACGATGTTCGGGATCTGGTACTGAGCGAAGAAATTCGACGGAGAGAATCGGGTGAAGCATCAACCTCCTCAGTCTTGCACACGGAGTCCAGAGGGAGAACTTCAGAAAGAAATTCAAATCGTGACAGATCGAAATCCAGAAGGGGAAAATCAAGAACAGGAAATAAAGATTTTACCTGTTATAATTGCGGCAAGAAGGGCCACTTCAAAAGAGATTGCCGAGCACCGAAGAAAAATACCGGCGCACAGGAATCTGCCAACATGATGGAGGAGACAGGTGATGCTATGATTTTAAGCTTCAACAGTCCGATTGAATCATGGATTTTGGATTCAGGGGCATCTTTCCACTCCACGCCATGCCAAGAAATCATGGAGAACTATGTCAGTGGTGATTTTGGGAAGGTTCATCTTGTTGATGATAAAACCTTGAAGATCGTCGGAAAAAGAGACATCCGTCTAAAGCTGCCAAACCATACCACCTGGAAGCTGACAGGAGTGAGACATATTCCTGGTCTCAAAAGAAATTTGATTTCTGTAGGACAACTTGATGGAGAAGGATACAGTACAACCTTTTCAGGCTGTGAATGGAAGATTACCAAAGGAGCACTCGTCATTGCTCGTGGTAAGAAACTGGTACTCTCTATGTAACCTCAAATTTAGAGAATATCATTGCAGTAGCAGATGTTGATGGGAAATCAAACCTATGGCACCAAAGGCTTGGCCATATGAGCGAGAAAGGAATGAAGATACTTCTGTCAAAAGGGAAGCTGCCGGATCTAAAGAATGTAGATGTCGAACTATGCGAGGATTGCATCTTTGGCAAACAAAAGAAAGTCAGTTTTACAAAGATTGGCAAGACACCCAAGGCAGAAAGGTTAGAATTGGTTCATACTGATGTATGGGGACCATCCCCAGTTCCATCTCTTGCAGGCTCACTATATTATGTCACCTTCATCGATGATTCAACAAGGAAGGTGTGGGTTTATTTTCTAAAGAAGAAATCAGAAGTCTTCGATACCTTCAGAAAATGGAAGGCCATGGTGGAAAATAAGACTGGTTTAAAAGTCAAGCGGTTGAGGTCTAACAATGGAGGAGAGTACAGAGATAGTAGATTCAGAGATTTCTGCGCAAACAATGGGATCAAGATGGAGACAACAGTTCCCATAACACCGCAGCAGAATGGCGTGGCAGAGCGCATGAACAGAACTCTGAATGAACGTGCCAGAAGCATGAGGATACATGCTGGATTGCCCAAATTTCTATGGGCTGAAGCTATCAACACTGCAGCTTACCTGATCAACCGTGGGCCCTCAGTTCCTTTGGATGGCGGAATACCAGAGGAAGCTTGGGGCAAGAAAGAAATAAACCTTTCACACTTAAGAGTGTTTGGTTGTATTTCTTATGTACACATAAACTCTGCTGAAAGAAGTAAACTTGATGCCAAGTCCAACAAATACGTATTTGTTGGTTACGGTGGTGATGAGTTTGGTTACCGGTTTTGGGACTACGAAAATCGGAAGATCATTAGAAGCAGAGACGTCATTTTCAATGAAAATGTGATGTACAAAGACATGTCAACCGCAGAATCAAGTAATACCGAAGCTGAAACAAAGGAATTTGCTGAGTTCGAGGAGATTTCTGGAAATGATGTTCAGATCAGTCCTGAAGCAGTTCAAGAGGAAGAACCAGGCACACCAGAACTGAGACGCTCCTCCAGAATTCCTAAACCAACCCAACGGTATTCTCCTTCTTTGCACTACTTGTTGCTGACTGACAATGGTGAACCAGAGTGCTATGATGAAGCAATGCAAGTGGAGGATTCAGTCAAGTGGGAGTCTTCCATGAAAGATGAGATGAAATCGCTTATGTCAAATCAGACGTGGGAATTAGCTGAATTACCACCAGGCAAGAAAGCGCTCCATAACAAGTGTATTTACAGGATCAAAGAAGAGCACGATGGGAGCAAACGCTATAAAGCAGGATTGGTTGTCAAAGGTTTTCAACAAAAAGAAGGTATTGATTACAATGAAATTTTCTCTCCAATCGTGAAGCTATCTACAATCAGACTGGTGTTGAAAATTGTAGCTGCAGAGAATTTACATCTTGAGCAGTTAGATGTAAAGACAGCTTTCCTTCATAGTGATTTGGAGGAAGAAATCTATATGAGACAGCCAAAAGGCTTCATAGAGGTAGGCAAGAAAAACCTAGTATGCAGGTTGAAGAAGAGCTTGTATGGTTTAAAACAAGCTCCTAGACAGTGGTACAAGAAGTTCGATAGTTTCATGAGTAGCGGTGGTTTTACCAAATGCCAAGCAGATCATTGTTGCTACATCAAGAGGTTCGACAATAGCTTCATTATTTTATTGTTGTACGTTGATGACATGCTCGTTGCAGGCTCAGACATGAAAGAGATTATAAACTTGAAGCAAAAATTGTCAATGCAGTTTGCTATGAAGGATCTGGGCGCTGCAAAGCAGATTCTTGGGATGAGGATCAAGAGAGACACAAAGTCGGGGACTTTGATATTATCACAGGCTGAGTACATCAACAAAGTATTCTCCAGGTTCAACATGCAAGATGCTAAACCAGTAAGTACACCTTTAGGTGTTCATTTCAGACTCTCCAAAGAACAGTCACCAAAGACGGAGGAAGAACGTGTACACATGGTGAAGGTGCCGTATGCCTCAGCAATTGGAAGTCTGATGTATGCCATGGTTTGTACCAGACCAGATATTGCTCAAGCAGTGGGAGCTGTTAGCAGACACATGAATAATCCGGGCAAGGTACACTGGGAAGCAGTCAAATGGATCTTTAGATATCTGCGGGGTACCACAAACAAAACACTTTGTTTCAAAGGTGGAGATACGATACTGACAGGCTATGTAGATGCTGACTTAGCCGGAAATGTTGATATCAGAAGGAGCACTACAGGGTATGTCTATACTCTAGGAGGAACCGCAGTGAGTTGGGTTTCTCAACTACAGAAGATAGTTGCTCTCTCCACAACTGAAGCAGAATATGTCGCTGTTACGGAAGCCAGCAAGGAGATGGTTTGGCTCCAAAGTTTCTTGGAAGAGTTAGGCAAGAAACAAGAAAACAATGTCTTGTATTGCGACAGTCAAAGTGCTATACATCTAGCAAAGAATCCGTCTTTTCATTCCAGGACAAAGCACATACAATTGCGATATCATTTTATCCGGTCTCTTCTGGAAGATGGGATTTTGAAACTTGAAAAGATCAGTGGAGCTCAAAATCCGACAGACATGTTGACAAAGACGGTGACTACAGACAAACTGAAGTTGTGTTCAACTTCAGTTGGCATGCTAGAGTAACAAGACTAGAAAAGCTGTTGCATTGATCGAGGTGTGAAGACAGATTAAAATCAGTCTTCAAGTGGGAGATTGTTGAAATTATTAAAATGGTTTTCAAGTTTGGTAACCAACTTTGAAAAAATGGTTTTCAAAGTTTGGTAAATGTTTCTTTGAAAAATAGTTTTTCAAAGTTTGGTAGATGTTTGTCGAAAAATGATAATAGGATAATCACAATTAATCCTTAGGCTTTAGGGTATTTACAAGATTAAGTCCTTAAGTTTCAACTATAAATACCCTAGCTCATTTAGCTTCAAAACCATCCCAAAAATCATTTCTTTCTCCCAATACTAGAGAGTTTTCTTGTGAGTAGTGAGTGTTTTGTAAACACCTGTAAATTTTCTCTCTTAGTAAAAGATCTGCAGCAATCCGGAGACGTAAGCACAATTGGCTGAACTCCGTTATCAATTTCGGGTATTATTTTTCTGCTTTTATTTTACATTCTCACTAATCTGGTTATAGGGAAATTACTTGTACTTGGTTTATTTCCCAACAATCTGGTAATAGGGAAATTACTTGTTATTGGTTTATTTCCCAACAGATATGTATATAAAAGAAGAAATAAAAGGAAGGGTAAAACTGAAACTTAACTATGTATTGAGTAATGACAGATGATAAATGATTCAGAAAAGAATTAGTTTCCTGAGAAGTAGAAGTATTAAAGATAAACCTTACTAAGTTCAGCTTCAAGTTCAGCTTTTTGCTTCTCAAGATCTACAATCCCAGCTTCCAGTTCCTGGGAAATTCAATATCAATTACTTTTTATATTCCTTATTTATAGTAAATAAAGAAACTTTTGAAAAAAACAAAAAGAAAATTGTTCAATCTGCAAATGTTACATCAGAAATCAGTTGAAAAGCACCACCCACAGACAATAATAGGAAAACTTTCCTTATTGAATTGAAAAAGAGAAGAGAAGAATAGGCATTGCCTTGAGATCAATGCCCTCTATGTATTTCAGGAAGAAACATTTAAAGTGAACGCTTATGTGAAGTTCTTCACTTGATATTATAATTAGAAAAGAAAAGAGCTTCTCTTGATAATTAATACCTTCTCTTGTTGGCTGACTTCGTTGGCTTTAGCAAAACGAAAGCTAATTGCTTCTTCTTTCTGAACCCTGATTGAAACACATTGTATGAATGCATTTCCCTTATTTGACATATATAGGAGTATTACATTTTCCGTTGCATGATAATGAGAACCTAACCAGCACAACTGGTTATCACATGCGAATTTCCAGATTCATGTTAGTTTTAGTTCATTTCATTTTAGCTCCTAATCTTTATGTTTCTAAAAGTACTGATATCCCATACTCATATATGAGACATTTTCGGACATGGGTATGGAATATGATACTTCAAGGACCTTCCAAATGTATGGAAAAAGAAAAAAATGTTGAACAAACCCGTGCCAGATACGTACCCGTATCTGATACACAGGTCCAAGTTACATAGGTTAATTTCACTCCAATAACTTAAAAAATTAAACCTAATCAACATGATAGGATTATCAAGAATAAATAACACAATGTCAGTAAGCCTTGAAAGGTTAGTGCACATATAAAAAACTGAAAGGGAACTAAATTGTTTTAAAATATTCCAAGCAGGAAAGATTTCCATTTAAAACCTTTGCTCTGAAATGCGCCTTCCAGCCTTTGATGTTGAGTTAATGAGAGATTCTGATAAAACTTTTAATTTATCGACCTGCAACAAAAAATGAACATATGTTATAATAGCTAATTAAAAGTTAAAGTAGTCAGAAATTATGACATCGTTCTGGTTTTCTTATCTTCATTTTCAACAGCTTATCTATAATTTACCTTTGAATGGATTTTGGTTTTCCAAACAGATCCTTCCGAGAAAAGATTGTAAAAAAAATATTTTCAATAGAATAAAATGGCAGATCAGGTGAAATTAGCAGCAAAATGATACAGCAGATAACAGTCACTTGCTGTATAATAGGATTGCATTAATCTCTTAACAGAAAGACCTTAGAGTCAGGGACGAGATCAAAATCTTACATTGTGGGGATGACAAAATTTTGATATTGAGAGATGGAATAAAAGAGGATCAAATATGAAGTTTTGGGGACTAAAATATTCGCAAGACAATTACTAAGGTCCTAGGATTTTGGAGAGGAACCAAGGCCCCCGGTCTGTCCCCTTTGGATCCATCCCTGGGCCCTGTGTAGATTCTTGTCCATGTTTGAAAGCGAAGCACTAGTTTTTAGCCAGAAATCTTGAACACTTCGCGATTCACTAATTGCTATATATGATAAACAAAGAGATATTGGGACTCCTGAAAATTATAATGTTTTGTCCTGAACTTATCAGCTTTTCCCAGTTTGGTGCCTAAACTTGAAGTTCATCACACATTTTAGTCCTTAATGGAATTCAAGTTAGGAACCAAGTTGGGAAAAGTTGCTAAGTTCTGGGATTAATGTGGACCAGAAAAAAGTTAAGGGACCAAGTTGGGGGAAATTGCCTAGTTCAGATATTAAATGTCGCTTTATCCAAAAAAGAAAATCGAATATCATACTGTTACAGGTTTCTAAAAGGAAGATTGCCAAAACCACTAGACATGTAAGAAACTCATTTTTCTGGTTCTTAAATGATTATGATACACCCTAACTGCAATACTAATCAGTATATCAGTCTATTAATACATGTCGATATGGCATGATAATTTATATATATATATTGTAAAGTCCCGCTAGAGATGGCCTAATTTAGTGATTCGGCTACCAGATGATGATACTTCCTTTTAGCAAGAATACAAATGACTTATGAGAAAATCAAGTATTGCTCCTTCATATGCAGGACAAGCCAAAGAAAAAACAGAAATAAACTAAACTAAGACATCAAAATAAGCAAAATTTAGGTAAATATATACACATACTTTACCAAACTCCTTAGCTTTAATAAGCTCCATAGTCCTAGTTCAAGCACAGCCTTATTCAATTTTTCTTATGATAGTCCAAGTACAAAGCCATGGCCATGATGCATAAACATACCTGTGTCTATTAATTCTTTTCCATGAACTTTTGCAAGTCATTTCCAAAGCAAACAACCAGAAGGAAACATTGGCATTAATCATGGAGAACTTACCATTGACAATGACATCCCTTCAAGAGCTTGACTATACAGAAAACCCTCTCGAAAATTCATTGGTTCTCCGATTTCAGGGTCATAGTAATACAGCTGTAATCAACAGCCAAAATAATGCAACATGAACAAACTATTCATATAAATATATATAATTACTAATTTAATGATAATATGAAGTTAAAAAAACACTCTAAAAGGATTACCGACCAAAGTTGGCTTTTGGGTTGAACCCTTGATCTCTTCATAAGAAAACTGATCGACAGTGTTTTTGTCATTAGCAGTAGTGTCGCAGCTGTCGTCATCGTTATTATCTTTGGTAATGTTATTATCATCATCACTCATATCTTTTTTATAAGTTTGATCATTAAATAATCTGTCGATTTCTTTAAGGGCGACCAGCCATCGTCTTAAAAGTTGAACCCTTTCAACTCCTTTACATGATACCGAAACTTCTTCAAGTCTCTTTACAGTTATTCGAAGATTGTGCATTTTCTTCGCCGCCAGATAATTAACGTAAAATAAACAAATCAAGTTTTCTATTAAAATTGAAAGGATTAATTGCACCAAACTCACAAATAAACTTGGAAGCGTTTTAATCGATTCATCAAACTATTGTAACCCGTCACCATAGGTCCATCACTATTAGCTTAGGCACTAAATGCTAGTTCCGATAAGCATGTTTAAAATATTGGAACTGTCATTTAATGCCTAGAAACGGAATGATAAAAGGACTTCATTAATAGGATATCAATTTAAAATTTAAATTATGGAGTAGCAAATTGAAGGAGAGAAATGTGAAATTTACAATGCGCTTATGGATCATCCTGGCACCGCCGAAGACGACAGAATCGGCGACACTCCATACGGTGCGCCTCAGGGCATTCTTCCCGCCTACTTCCACGGCTCTACTAACCGCCGTTCTTATCCATGACATTTTCTTCCAAACTCAAAGAATCTTATAAAATTCCTAACGGGAGAAACTTCTTCACATTTGCATGTTTGGGTTAGCGTCAAAAGGGGGGGGGGGGAACAAAGTCAAAACATTATAAAATAAAATAAAAGCTAAACACTGGTGAATGGAGAAACACAATTTGGGAGTCGACGTAAATATTTTTGAAATTTCCCGCATTGTTCGAGTCCCTTGCCTCTTCTTTCGCCTTCCTACTTTCTTTTTTAACCACCATTTTTTTTTCATCTAAATTCCAGGGAATAAAAAAATACTGCTATTCATATCCATTAACCCATTTCTTCTTATCTTATTTTTAATTGAAAAAAATGACTTTTTATATGAACATTATAACCAATAAATATGTCTATGAAAAAAACGATCAGATTTGTGCTACCTATAAATACTTGTCAACTGATATTTTAGACTTACTAACGTTTAAATAATATATTCAAACAAGGTATAATGTAAAATTTATAATAAGGTCTTCTACGAAATTGTTTTGTTGAGTCCTCAACTATTAAGAGTTATAAAATGATCACCCAAATATTCATATGTTACAAACTTATATCATTATATCATTGAACTAATGTTTTAGTTAGATGTTAACATGTTAATTGAGATAAGATAAAATTTGATCCAAGAACTGTTTGAGTTATAATTTTTGGACCAACTCTCTGTTTACATTATATCATCGAACCAATGCTTGAAAGCAACGATGATATCAGTATATATTATTAAAATATAATTTTATCATATCTCAATTAATATGTTAACATCTAACTCAGATGATTATCATTTTTAACAAAAAATGACAAGTTCAAAACATATGAATAATTAAGTGATCATTTTATAATTTTTAATAGTCGGGGATTCAATAAAATATCGTCCTATAGCCGAAAAACTATTTTATAACTTTTAATAATTGGAGGACTCAACAAAGTAACCCCTATAAACCGTTTGTATACTTCGCCCTTTATAATATTATTTAAGTTTATATAGTCGTATGAAATCAACGATAATCTCTATAGGAACATAACAGCTATGTGGGGAGGCAATGACTTTCGATTTTATTCGCTTCAACTATCTATGAATCCATACAATTATTTGAAGGTCACCAATGAATACAGTAACTAAAGGCTGCAGAAGGCAAAGTTTAAAGCATCAATAATCTCTCAACGGAATGTGGAACGCTTGATCGCTGGTGCCCTTTTAGCTACTGCCTGTTACTCAATATCCGGCAATGGCACTTTCCAAAAATTCCATGAGTTAAAATCTTCCTGCAAAGGTATCGGAATATCAGGGATGCAATACCATGGAATTCCCAAATGAGGTTCTGGAGATTTAAACAGGGGCAAGAAAATATTCTGTTACCTGTTCGACCAATGAAGTTGGTGTGAACATGTCGTTAACGAGAGTGTGCAATGACGTATACGACTTCACGTCGATACAATGACTAATAGCCACCTCACCCTGCCAGTTTCGAGTCAGATTGTTAGAAAGTTGATATGGTAACCTCATTACTGATTATGGTTCAATTTTTCCTCATGTGTAGGACATAGAAAGCATGTATACCTTTGGGTTGATGATAAAAATCTTGCCCTTCGGGATCCCGATTTTTCTATAGCTCAGCTCATCCGTGTCTCTGTTTCCAAAGCCCGCATAAAATGGATTGTGGTCAGAGGGAAAAAGTTTCTTGATATCCTGCAATAAGAAACCCAAAGTGAAAAGGCTGATCCTATCACAGTAACTGTCCCGATCTACAATGAGAAACAAGGTTGAGTATAAGAGAATTTACCTCTAAACATGCTATTTTGAACTCATGAGGTGCTCTTCTTATCACTGCCATGAATAATGGGCGGAAATGGTAGAATGAATCAGAATGAATGTATGCAACTAAAAGTACAGCCTAAAGATTCTGATATTAGTAAATGGTCAAAACAACAAAATAGGTTATTTCAATGCAAAAACTATATATATATATATAAACAATACCTCACCTTCACGGTACAATGAGGGAAACAAGCCATCAGGAGAAATAACAACAGGTCCATTTGGTAAAGCTTTTCCATCCTATATAAATAAATGATCGGTTAAAAGCTTCTTACAAGCTCATTATTTCAAAGCAAAATCCTTCTAGCAGGGACGCCGGTTTTGAAATGTTAGCCTATCTCTTGAGTTGTTACTTTAGCTATTGCTTTTTTGGATTCACAAGGAAAGTGTAAAAGTTATATTTAGATGCAAAGGCAAATGATACTTTACTTTGGCCACAAGGCAAATAATAGAATATAGGTAAAAAAGAATGTTTATCTTAAGCATAGAAAAACCTGGTGTACTTTTATACCTGTTTCAGGTTGTTTAAAAAACTTCTCGTTAGATATGCCTGAACAATTGCACGTGCACTCAGAAATAGTAGCTGATATCCATTCTCCTGTTGTGACCAGACAATTCAATATCTGACATCAGATACCAAAGGAAATTGATTTGCACAAGCGTGTCAACATATTCTAATGGAATAAACTCAAGACCCACACTGGTCTCATAAAAATTAAATAAGCAACCGCATGGTCTCACAATTTATCATTCAAATCGAATCACCGTGATTGGATAACTAAACCCAGTTTTCCCTAGAAACAATATTGTATTTGCACATATGCACATAAATGTTAGTGAGAAAGGTGGATGGACATATATACAACTTCTGAAAAAAAAGTTATCAATACACAGAATCTAAGAAGTGAAATATAAATTTCAAAAATGAAAATGGTCGAGAAGCACTATAATGGTAACGGGATAATGTTTCATATCATCATTATACTGGGGCTGTCAAATGTTATTCCTAAACTTGCATTCTAAAACCTGGCAAAGGAATATACAATCACTTAAGTCAAACTGAATATTGAAACAAATTAGAAAAACGCATACCTTAATGGCAGAGAAAAGTTTAGCTACACCAGATTGTGTCCAATCCCTTCCAACTAAAGGCATAAACTGTCCTAAAACGTCAGACCTGAAGGAGATGTGTCAAAGGTTATTGAAAAACACATTGTATTAAAACTATACATGATTGAAACATACTCAAAAGAAAGATTTTACCACACATCAAATAGGTTGTCACAGCTTCTATAAATACACATTGCTGCTTTAATACTAAAGATCATAACAGAGCATTTTCAGCTTCAAATACAAGTAAATAGTTTATTAAAATTTTCTCCTCTACTTTTATAGTCCAGTTTAATCTAGTACTCATATCATAATTATGTATAGTAAGGAAATTATCCACCATTTCCAGAATATATATCATGATAAGAATCAAAAGGGAGTTTAGAATACAGAAGTCCATACTTGGTGATAGTTCCATCAACATCTGATATTACAATCTTTGCATTCCACTTCCACAAGTATATATGAGCATCAACCTGTTAAAGATGCATTGGTTTAGGAGGATAAATTTGGGCATTAAAAAACCCTTGCATTCCTAAAGGAAGAATTGATTGTAGAGAATCGAAACCTGTTGTGTTCCCAGAACCCTGGTGGAGAAGCTGAAAGTAATCTTATTCTGACCATCTTTCAGATTTAAGGAAGTTATCTGCTCACTAATGGGAACATTAGTCCTAATATATTGCTTATGGGGAGATTCAATCCTCCCACCGGATGCTGGAGTACCTGCTGGTGAATCTTGTAGAGTAGATTCAGTATCGACAAATTCCTCCTCAGTAGATAAATTGCTGTGGTTCTGCTCAAGTGCTTTGACCCTTCTAAAGGGAATAGGCCAGAGCCTCCATCTACGGCCAGAGGATGTGGAAGTGACTGTAGAATCATCATTCTCTGAGTTTGGTGACTCGTTCTGTTCAACACGGATTGCATCTTGGGGCTCAACATCTAACTCTAAACCAAATGCAGCCATTCCAAGAACAATAGGGGCAGCTTTTTCCCATGGAAAATACCTCTCTCCAAATCGGATGATTAGGTTTGCATTCTTAATAATTGACATTGCATTATTTTTATATTCCTCATGTGATATGCGGTATGCTTCAAAGACTTCTGCCGAAGCATCTCGTCCCATACCCGCATGAAGTTCATTTCCACATAGTGAGATCTCAAATCCTGGATATAAGGTGAGCAAGAAAAGCTAAGACTCTGGTAGGTTTGAGAAAATATTTTCTATTCCCATTTTCTGAAACAATTCTCTTTCTATTTTCTAAATTTTCAAAAACATGTTTGTTAAATAAATAGGAAGACATGTTTTCGGATAATAAAATGGTGAAAATGTGTTTGGTTACTTTGGTATGTGCATTTTCAAAATTAAAACATGAAAAACAATTCTTAACAAACAAAATAATAATAAAGCGTAAAGCGTTCCCTAGAATAATAAAAACAAATACCAATAAACGTAAGAGTTCAATTAAAAAAAACACTATTTCATATTGTTCACAATTATCAAGAAAAAGAATAAATATTATTTTCCCAATCAAACATTACAGATGTAGTAAGAAAGACAACTTTTTCCATAAAACACAAAAAGACCAAAGTTAGATGTCAAAGTATTGGGGCACTAATTAGGTGAATATATGACTTGGTCTTTAGACTGTTTGACAGCAAAAAATAAATAAAAGTAATCTTGCATATTTGATGATTTGGGCCTAGGTATTAGATGGCTTGCAATGACAACTAAAAGATATTTCTAAAATTACTCGTTTCTTGAAAACATCATTTTTTGGCCCATTTACATTCCCATTTTCTAGGAGGCATGTTCTATTTTTACAACCAAAAATGCTTCCTCACACATTCTGTACTTTTTATTAAAATGAAAAGAGACTTTGTTTTCTCAAACAAGACATTGAGTATTCCAGGAGAATTAGAGCAAGAATAGTGTAAAATATTTAAAGGAGTCCTAGGGTCCTTAATTCCTTACCCAAGCAAGCGCGAGTTTCTACCTCTTCACCAGAAGTTACAGTTTCCACAATCTCACTTTTGCTACTCTTATCCTCAAGTGCAGGACTTCGCTCACTGCTATTTATCCCTTTGGTTGCTGCTGATGTACCATATTGTTCATCTTTTTGTTCTAGGTCATTACTAATATAATCAACAGACGCATTGCTAGAACCTGTATGATCTGTATCCAGCACTTCTTTTTCAATTGGCTCACCTTCAACTAGAAACTCAGGTGATCCATTATTTTTGGAGGAATTAGGACTACAAAAGGAAGACAACACATCTTTATTTCTAGAGTCACCAACAGCTCCCTCTTCAGTTTCATCATCATCTGGAAGGCTGCGAGGAGGTTTATCCTGTGAAATCTGAGCTTCTGATGGGCTAACTATGTCTTCAGAATTAAAGTCTTCCCCGTGCCTGCCCAATTCAGTTAGTTCAAGGCAGCTCTTAAAAATACCATCCTTATTACGCATGGATGCATCTTCAACGTCACTCAGCCTATTCACTTCACTTTCATGGACATGGTTAGAAAGGTTTGTTGTTTCTTCAGTCTGACAGGCATGTTCCACCCCATTTTCACAAACTTCTGGATGGTACAAAGCAGTAGAATCACTATTCAATCCGCGGATATTATCAGCGGAATCCTCAGCTGCAGATGAATTGAGCTTACTAATATAATTAGCAGCCCACACATTGTCACCTGAACTGAACTCCTCATTATCCTCACAAAAATCAGGTTCTTCACCTGGTCCTAGATGGAACTGAGGTGTGCTTAGTTGCACATTTTCAGCACTCTGCTCTGATGCTGAGACAGGGGCTGTAAGTATGCGGCCATCCACACTGACCAAGACTACTTCTGAATCTGAACCCTGTGCTTCACCAAAACACTCGCCATTTAAACCCTCATATCTGCCAGACCCATATTCTGACAAATTAATTGAACCCTCCATTGAGGACTGCTCATCCTGAAAGTCATAGTACCTAGTATCAGATTCTGCCCTTTCAAACCGTTTCGGATTTCTGGAATCAAGTTCGTTCCTCAACTGAAGCACTGCAGAATCTGAGACACTATGTTCAAGTCTATAAAATTCACCAATCTTTGTATTACCTTCACCCTGTAAAACTTCACTATCAGAATCTTTCAAATCACCATTTGTCTTAATTCCTTTACAAGGATTAACCTCCCTTGCAAAATATGCTTCCCCAGAGTTATCAAGAAACATATGAAAATCTGCTTCAACGCCATTAACAGTTATATGAACAACCTTCTCAGCCCCTTTCAAAACACCCTGAAACTTCCCAAACCGAACATACCAAGGTGTGCTTCGGAAACTCCCATCTTGTTGCTGAACAACAATCACATCAACAGCCCCACCAAAAGGATGGAAAGGAGTAGCAACAGAATACACACCTTGTGAAATTAAACTCCCAACTTTTCCAACAACATTCATTTGTCAATACTAAACCTACACTAGATTAACAAAATTCAAAGAAAATTAACAATAACCCTTTTGCAGGTTCTTTTAATTTCTATAAAGAAAGATGAACCCAACAAATCACCGCAATCATCAAAATCTTGCTTTCTTCTCGACAATATTTATTCTTTAACTTGAAGTATCTGCATTCAATTCAAAATCAAACCAACCAAATATTAAACCCTAAAATCTTCCTCTTTAATCAGCAAGAAAATAAAATGCAAAAGAGAGAGAGAGAAGGAAAGCAAGCAAGGAATCAATCAGCCGTCACTTTCATGCCAAAGCTAGAAACTATAAATCACACTGTTGACGGATATTAAGTGAAAATCCTAAAATAGAATGTTAATAGCACGCATTTCTCCCAAAAGGACTACTTAACCTCAAGAAACATCAATAACTCAAGTTACTTCTCCAATTTTCTCGACAACAATAATAGGAGCAGTCAAACAATATTCGTAACAGACGGAGAGACAGCCAATGCTAAAGAAAGAAAGAGATTGGATATTAAAGAATCAAACTATTCTTAGTTCATAATCTTCTAACATTAATTTATAAATATTTATATGTTTTTAGTCAAAGTCGTTTCAAAAACCTTACAGATTAAAAAATAATTGAGCAAAAGAGATTTCCAGGAAGGTCCAATCTCGCATATTGAAGTCGTGACGATTCTAAGGTTGTCTCGATTTTTCTATTATTTTTCTTTTCCTTTCAGCTTCCGATTTTGAATTTTCTTTTTCTGGTTATGAATTTATAATGTTATTTTATTTAAAAAAATTATATATATATATATATATATATATATATATATATATAAACAAGTGGCGCACGACAATCTTTAAGTGGTGTTTGTTTTTACTGAATAAGTTTTTTAAACCACTTGTGTCTTCGTCGCGCAGATCATGCGCAGACATTAGACTTCACAGACTGTTTGTTTTTTAGAAGACAGAAACTCTTTAAACGTCTGCACGAGCTCTTCTTGGTGCAGACTTGGTTTTATGTCTTCAAAAGTCTTCAAACCTCTTCAAGAATAATTATAAAATATAATTATTTATTAAAATAATTTTAAATAATTTAATAAGGTTATTTATTTTAAAATAATTTATTTTAAAATAATTTATTATAAAATAATTTATTTTAAAATAATTTATTTTAAAATAATTTATTTTAAATAATTTATTAGTATGGATTGATTTATTTTAAAATATTGATTGATTTATTTTAAATAATTTATTAGTATCGATTGATTTATTTTAAAATATGGATTGATTTATTTTAAATAATTTATTAGTATGGATTGATTTATTTTAAAATATAGATTGATTTATTATTGTAGTTGTATAGATTGATTTATTATTGTAGTTGTATAGATTGATTTATTTTAAATAATTTATTAGTATGGATTGATTTATTTTAAATAATTTATTAGTATGAATTGATTTATTTTAAAATATGGATTGATTTATTATTCTAGTTGTATGGATTGATTTATTTTAAATAATTTATTAGTATGGATTTATTTGTTTTAAAATATGGATTGATTTATTTTAAATAATTTATTAGTATGGATTGATTTATTTTAAAATATAGATTGATTTATTATTGTAGTTGTATGTATTGATTTATTTTAAATAATTTATTAGTATGGATTGATTTATTTTAAAATATAGATTGATTTATTTTAAATAATTTATTAGTATAGATTGATTTATTTTAAATCATTTATTTGTATGGATTGATTTATTTTAAAATATGGATTGATTTATTATTGTAGTTGTATAGATTGATTTATTTTAAATAATTTATTAGTATCGATTGATTTATTTTAAAATATGGATTGATTTATTTTAAATAATTTATTATTGTAGTTGTATGGATTATTTAAATTTCAGTATTGTAAAACTAAAATTATTTAAATCTCAGTATTGCAAAACTCTTTTAAGTTTAAAAAATCAGTTTATTTATATTTCAGTTCATTTTAGCAGTCGGTAGACGTTAAAAAACAAACAGTCTTCTTCTTGTAGACTGTAGACTTTTGGTCCACCTCTTCTGCTGTAGATGTCTGCAGATGTGGTCCGTAGACTGCAGACTTTTTACCTCTGCAAAAATAAACACCACCTTAATATACTATTAACGAAATGTGTTACAAAAAATATTATTATTATTTAATATTTTTTTATAAAAAATTATCTAAAAAATTATTTTTTATTTAAAACATTCATATTTTTTAATATTTCTAGTAAAGGGATCAATATTAATATTTTTGGTAGAAAAAATAATGTTTAAGGTAACGTTTTACCAGATATGTTAACAAACCATGTAAAGCGCCCAATAATAATATTTCCAGTAGAAATAATATTGTTTTGAGTAATTTTTTACCGAAAATATTAAAAAATAATAACATTTCTGGTAACACATTTCCTTAGTCATATATTAAATTATTTTACGTGAGACTTCTTCAATAAATAGGTAATCTGAACTGAAATTCTATGAAGGATTTTAATTAGCTCACCTTTTGGGAAATGATCACGTGCATACTAAAAAAAAGATGTTACTGATTTTGTTATTATTTAAATAATAAAATCGATAAAAATTACTGAAAACATTATTATTTCTATCAATTTTATTATTTTTTTATAAATTTTATTATTGTTATGCACTTTACCGAAAATGCTAAAAAATATTAACGTTTTACCTATAAATAATAATATTTTAAATAAATTTTTACCGATTTTAATATTTAAATAATAATAAAACTGATAGTATATTTTTTTAACAATATATTAAAGGAGTTGTACCGCATAACTTTCCTAACTTTCTTTTGATAAAACTACGCGATTCGTGAAGGGTATTTAGGGAATTCATTATTTTTTAACTTTTAAGTATAAGGTGGCAGCATCTCACCTTGGACGACTGTCTAGATGTAATGTAAACAAAGAAAATTACATATTTATAAGGGGGCATCATCTCACCTTGGACTCCTCTGTCTTCAAGTAAATTACATAGTTGACAGTTTAATTATAGGTAATTTTAATTTGATCACCAATCTATTGATTTTTTTAATTACATCATTTAATTGTAACACATGTCATTATCTAATATTGAGATAAAAGTGTTGAGAAGGACCAAACCTAGGACTTTGGTGAGGATTGAGTACCCTTAACCATTGGACCAAATTTCATATTTAAAATATAAATTATAAAATTTGAATACATTTTATATTTTAGTTACTGTCACCAAAAGAAAAAGAAAATAAATAAAACTAGTAAAATGAGAACTCAAACCTAGGTCACTTTAGATTATGAGAACACCTAAATTATTGAAATAAATTTAATAATTGATTTATAATTGAATAGATTTCATACATATATTAATCTATAATTATTATAATATTTAACATATATTTTTATATTTTAAAATTAAATTATTTTTCCTTTTTATATTTATTTTTATAATTTCATATATCATATATATAATCATTAAATTAAGTATTTTAAATTTTTATTAAAAAGTAAAAATATACAATTCAGTCGTATTTTGGTTATTTTTTTTATTAGATTACATAGTTTAAAATATATAATTTGAATAACAACATTAACATGATTAAAACCGACTATAAGATAATAAAAAATAATTCTTAAAAAACCTTTTGATAACAATAAAAAGTAAGATTTGGATTATAAATTTAACTTGTTATTTAAGTTGTACTCATAAATTTAGATTTGTTAAAAGAATTTTAAATAATTTTAAAATTTTTAATATAATTATATATATTATTTTATTTTATTTTTAATAATTTATATCGCCTCGTACACTAAGTCTCGTTACAACACCATCATTTTTTTGTATAACCACGATCATCTGATCTATTGATCGATTGATCTGGATCAGATATGCAGGGACGAAGACGACTCTCTCGATCTAGTTTGTTCCATTCACAAACGCCATGATTCAGACCCTTGATCTTGCTTAAGAGATTTAATGTCCCATCTTACTAAACCACCTGGTTGTTGGTTTACGACACCATTCTTTTTTAATATTTTTTCATCTAATTAGATGGTCATCACTTGAAAAAATATATAAATGATGAGGCCCAAATGTTGAATCAAAATAGAGTAAAAACTCTAATTGATCCAAAAAAAAACTCTCTTTAGAATAATCTCACAAAATTGCAAAAGGGAAGAACTCTTAAGAAAGCTTTCAAATGCTTATAATTAAGCTTTGATTGTTGGATGATAAAACTCAAATACAAGTAGGGTATTTATAGGTTACAAGAAACAATCTAAACCACTCATTAAAATAAACACTAAATAATCTAAACCATTGAAATTAAAACATGAGAAAAATACTTAATTTTCACCTAACTAAATTGATGTAAGCAATGACATCAAAACTAAATTGATGTAAGCAATGACATCAAATTAATTTAGGTGTGAACATTTAGGCTAATATTGAATTTTCAACACTCCCCCTCAATGTTAGCCTCCATTCTTTGAATCACGCCATGCTGACGACGGAAATGTTCAAACTTTCCAACACTCAAGCTTTTTGTAAACAAGTCAGCAATTTGCTCATCTGTCTTGATTTGCCTCATCTCAATCTCTTCTTGCAAAACTTTTTCCCTAACAAAGTGGTAATGTACTTCCACATGTTTAATTCTTGCATGAAAGACAGGATTCTCCGCCAGCCGAATTGCCGATTGGTTGTCACAATACAACGGAATTGCATAATCTACTGGTTGATGTAGATTATTCATCAACTGTATCAACCATGTACTCTCTTGAGCTACCATTGCTGCTGCTCGATACTCAGCTTCAGTGGTTGACAATGATACCGTTGGTTGTCTTTTGCTACACCAAGAAATTGTTCCGGACCCAAGCTTAAACACATACCCAGTTGTTGATCTCCTGGTGTCATGATCTCCTGCATAATCAGCATCACAATAACCAAATAACTTGCAGTCTTCACCTTTCTTGTACAAAAGACCATAGTCAATTGTATTCTTTACATATCTCAGTATTCGTCGAACTGCTTCCAAATGAGGCTTCTTTGGATTTTGCATATACCGACTCATCACACCAACTGCATAAGAAATGTCAGGTCGGGTCAAGGTTAAGTAGATCAGACTACCTACCAATTGTCGATACATTGTTGCATCTTCCAAATCTTTTCCTTCATGTGCACACATTTTGATATTTGGTTCCATTGGCGTTGAAGTTGACTTGTATTCGAGCATTCCAAACCTCTTCAGCAAATCTTTAGCATATTTCTGTTGACATAGAAATATTCCTTCGTGTGTACGATCAACCTCTAGACCAAGGAAGTGCTTAAGTTGTCCAAGTTCCTTCATCTGGAAACGAACTGATAAATTCTCCTTCGTCTGAAGAATTTCTTCCTCATCATCACCGGTTATGATTAAGTCATCCACGTACACTAGCACGATAGCTAGCTTACCTTCATTGGCTTTGACAAACAAGCTAGAATCTGCAGGTGTTACTGAATAACCACTTTTCGTTAGAAATTCAGCAATCTTACCATACCACGCCCTAGGTGCTTGTTTCAATCCGTAGAGTGCTTTTCGCAGCTTACACACATATTCAGGATGATCTTGATTCTGAAAACCCATTGGTTGGGTCATGTAGATTTCTCGATCTAGCTCTCCATGAAGAAAAGCATTCTTCACATCCATCTGCCACAAGTTCTAGTCTTTGTTGGCTGCAAGTGCAAGTAAGA